ACGATCGTCCGCGCGCCACGAAGTGAAGTGTCCTGACGTCATAGGGCGGGAAGCTGGGTGTGGGTGGTTCCCGAGAGTCGTGTGGATGTTTGGTAGAGCTTGCATTGCCCCCCCACGAAGTGGGGGTATTGGCTGGCGTCGCGTGAAAACCCTGGCACTGGGGAGAACACTGAGCGTTCGGGTAAAATGATTGTTGTTGTTGTTGTTGTTGTTGTTGTTGTTGTTGTTGTTGTTGTTGTTGTTGTTGTTGTTGTTGTTGAGTTCTCATTTCTAAAGAATAACCATTGTTGATCCCCCCCACCGGTGCATACTGTTTTTTCTCAATCAAAGTGTGCCCCTCAACGCTCGCACCCTGTTTTTTGACAGGGAAAGTCTTCCTGCTCAAACTGGGCCCCTGGCCCCCGGGTTACAACAACAACGTCTCCCGCCTGAGACTTCCTAACAAATTAGCCAGGACCCCTGCTCCCGCCCGAGACTTCCTCGCATTGAATTCAGGAATCGCGCTCTCGCTTGGGACTTCCTTACAATTTATTGAGGAATCGCTCTCCCGGCGCTCTGGAGTCGCGCTCTCGCTGGAGACTTGCTTGCATTTTACTGAAGAATGGCCTTGCTTGCAATTTCCTGCAATTTGCCCAAGTGCCGCGCTTCCGACACCCAGGCACCCAGGAGTCGCGCCCGTTGTGGCCCCATGTGCATGCCCTTCGTGGCCTCGCTGTCGCCATTTGTGTACCCCTCACTGTCCTGCGTGGCCCAGTTGCTACCCTCAGTGGCCCCACAGTTGCCTTCGTGGCCCCCGCTCGTTCGCGCTTTTCGTGGCCCCATACGCATTCCCTTCGTGTCCCCGCTGTCGCCCTTCGTGGCCTACTTCGTGCCCTTCGTGGTACTGCTGTCGTTCTCTCTCGCTCTCGCTTTCGCTCGTCGTCGCTGTCGTCGTCGCCGTCGTCTTCGACGTCGTCGTCGTCGCCGTCGTCGTCGTCGTCGTCGTCGTCGTCGTCGTCGTCGTCGTCGTCGTCGTCGTGGTGGGTCCCCTGTCCGTCCCTCTTGGGGTCGGGTCGACGGTCCGCGGCCGCCCCGCCGATCAGCGCTGCCGCTGGCCAGGCCGGCGGTCCGCGGCCGCCCCGCCGCTTGTCTGGGCCACGCCTGCAGGGAAGAAAGGTATACCACCCAAAAGGGGTTCGATCGAAGACGACGAGGGCGGGTATCGAGGTTTTGGGAAATACGCATTATTGGACACTCGAGCATATAAGGGCGATCAGTCTTAAAATCATTGTTGTTGTTGCTGTTGCTGTTGCTGTTGCTGTTGCTGTTGCTGTTGCTGTTGTTGTTGTTGTTGTTGTTGTTGTTGTTGTTGTTGTTGTTGTTGTTGTTGTTGTTGTTGTTGTTGTTGTTGTTGTTGTTGTTGAACATTATTACTTCTAAAGAAATATTATTGTTGAGACCCCTGGTGCGCGACCCCCCTCCAAAACCTAGGCCGCAGCCTCATTTCCTTCATTTTCTAGCGAAAGCTTCAGAAAAGTGGATTGTGTCCGGATCCGGTTGTTTTGTTGTAATCCGTTTTCCCTTGCAAAAAACACTATAAAATGAAAATTCTTGTTCTTACTTGATCAAATTGCAAGAATCCCTTGCAAAAAATAAGGTAAAGTGGACATTCGTGCGCGCAAGACGAAATCCTTCCAAAACCTTAGGTTTCGTAACGATTTTAACATAAAAACATCAAAAACCCAATGGTTTTTTTTAAGAAAAAATTGTCAAAATGTCCTTCCGCGCGCGCTGTCCGAATCCCACAAAACCAATGGTTTTTCAACATTTATGTTACATGAGCTCGCGCGAGCTACTTTTTCTTGTTCTAACATAATCAAATTTCAATAATCCCTTGCAAAAAATAAGGTAAAGTGGACATTCGCGCGCGCAAGACGAAATCCTTCCAGAACCTTAGGTTTCGTAACGATTTCAACATAAAAACATCAAAAACCCAATGGTTTTTCAAAAAAAAATGTCCAAATTTCATCCCGCGCGCGCTGTCCGACTCCCACAAAACCAATGGTTTTTCAACATTTATGTTACATGAGCTCGCGCGAGCTACTTTTTCTTGTTCTAACATAATCAAATTTCAATACTCCCTTGCAAAAAAAAGTAAAGTGGACATTCGCGCGCGCAAGACCAACAAAAAACACGACGATCTCAGGAACTTGCCCCAAAAATGTGACCAACTCCGCTCTCTCTGTCTCTCTCTCTGTCTGCTCTCTGTCTCTCTCTCTGTCTGTCTGTGTCATGTATTGTATGTCACAATTGCAGGATGCTGGGCACACGCGCGCCCCGAATAAGTGACCAAGTTCTGTGGGTGTGTACCCCACGCCAGTGTAGTAGCCACGGTCGTCCGCACGCCACGAAGTGAAGTGTCCCAACGTCATAGGGCGGGAAGCTGGGTTTGGGTGGTCGCGAAGAGTCGTTTGGATATTTGGTAGAGCTTGAACTGCCCCCCCACGAAGTGGGGGTATTGTCTCGCGTCGCATGAAAACCCTGGCACTGGTGAGAACACTGAGCGTTCGGGTAAAATGATTGTTGTTGTTGTTGTTGTTGTTGTTGTTGTTGTTGTTGTTGTTGTTGTTGTTGTTGTTGTTGTTTTTAAACTTTTTAGCAATTGTTGTAGTTTTTTTGTTTTTTGTGCATTTTCTTTCGCCGAAGATCCGCCTGTAGGGCGACATGCCCGACCTGAGACAACCCCGAAACGGCCCCGGGAGACCGCCAGTGCGGCCTCCTCTCCCGCATGCCCCCCAGGCGGCCGTCCAGACGGCATGAGTCACGATGTTACAACCTGCTTTAGCCTTGACCACCAGAAAGAATTTCGAGCACCAAGGAAGCACCTAAACTTTCGAGTTTTCACGTGTCGGGCCCTGGTAGACACTCGTTCGACGCTGTTTCGAGACTGTTTCGAGACTGTTTCGACCCTTTTTCGACACCTCTTCCGGGTGCTCGAAGTCATGTCTGGGATGTGGTCCTTACGTACGACGAGAGCAGCATAAGGCGTGAGTGCCCCCCCCCCCGTGCGGCGTGCGGCCCCCAGGAGGCCTCCAAGAGGCCCCACAGACAGCCTCCTGGAGGCCCCGATGGCTCCGATGCCGCAAAGATTCACCAGCCAGCCAACAGCAGGCACTCATCGCAATCGCTTCTGCATCTTTTCTGTAAAAGAATGGCGGGTGGGTGGGTGGGATGATTGCGCGAGCAGTGGGGCCGACAATTTCAAGTTCGGCAAGGTGAATTCGCCTTTCTAATCAAAGAATGTAGACTCTACCCCCCCCCCCAGGATTATCCGTTCCCCTTTTCGTGTTGCAATTTGCATGTGATTCTGCCCCATCGTCTATCCGAAATTTGAATTCCTACCATGCTGGCCCAACAGGTATCCGCCCCACCCGCCATCCCCTGCAAAACATATTGTACGCGCGCGCTCGCTTATCACAAATCTCCAGTTTTCAAAAACCCCTTGCCGAAAATCGGACGAAGTGCGCGCGCGCGTCGTCGCGCGCGCATGCCGCAATCCTTCAAAACACGGGGTTTCGTAACGGTTTCAAGACCGAGTGTCCAAAACACATATAACAACAAGTGCTTTCGCAACGCGGATTTTCGAACAAAAAGGCGTGCGGTGGCACTCTTGCGAATTCTTGTGAACAGGACCGTCGGTTTTTCAACATTTTCAGAAAATGCTACCAGACGGGCGTTGCGCGCGCGCATGTCGAAATCGTTCGAACGCCCTTGCGCGCGTGCCGTCGCGAGAATCCTTTGCAAATGATGGAACTAAGTGCGCGCGTGCGCGTCGTCGCGCACGCATGCCGGAATCCGTCAAAATCCATCGGTTTCAAAACCGAGTGTCCAAACAGCATGCAAAAAACACATGGTTTCGCAACATCAGTTTTCAAAAGAACGTGCGCTCGCGCTCTCGCGAATTCCTGAGACAACGATCGGCCTTCAACATGTTCATGGAATTCTGCCAAACGGGCCTCTCGCGCCGCATGCCGACATCATTCGGACGCCCTTGCGCGCGTGCTGGGGTGGCACGATCCGTGTAAAACCATACCATGCGGGCCACTCTCGCGCGTCGGCCGCACGCATATGTCGAACCCTTTCCGCAACCTTCATCACCGACGCGAGGACGCCGTCATCGTCGTCGGCATGATCAGTATCGGCGCTCGCACTTGCCGCGCCTTCGTCGTTGTCAACATCGCCACCGGCATGGCTACTATCATTATCGTGCCTGCCGTTGTTGACGTTGCCATGGTGCCGCGCCCGCCCAAGTCGCCGACTCTCGCTGAAGTGCCCGTTGGCATGTGCCCAGCGGTCAGCGCCACCGTGGCCGCGTCGGTGGCGCCAAACTAGCTGGCCGCTGCGCGCGCGTGCTCGGGTTGGCGCGGCCGCACAGACGCACCAGCCAATGCCAAGCATGCATCGCAATCGCCACCGCATAGGTTTTGCACACTGAGTTGCGTGTGGGTGGGTGGGATGTTTGCAAGAGCCTGGGATGTGTCAGCTCGTTTGTTAAAATCAAGTGCGCCGCGTAGATTGCACCGCATAGCTTGCTTTACGTATGTTGCATCGCAGACATTGCACCACACACAGTGCGCCGCGCAGATAGCAATAAACTACTGTAGGGGGTCCACGTTGGCTAACAGCGACATTTTTTTGAATATGTTTGAATACTTTTTAGGTTCTCTCTCAGAACCGCCTGGAGGAGGACATGCCCGACGTCAATGTAGAGGTGGCCCCCCCAAGAAGGGTTATCACCCGCGCGCCCAGAGCTTCTGGAATCGGCCATGCGTCGCTCTGCGGCCCTCCTGAATACGCAGGTCAGCCAACAGCGATTCGCAACCCGTCGCGCAGAAAGCGGGGACGTCTTGCCAAGAGGCGAGGCCATAATCGGGGTGCCCATTCTGCTCAAGCTGGCCTCGGCGTGCTCGCCTGTCGGCTCGCGGTGCCGCTGCACGAGCCTCTAGTGCCTGGCCTGCGCAATGAAGCGCGCGATTCTCGCGTTGCCCCTCCTGGCCACCGCCAACTTGGTCGTCACAAACGTTACATCGAAGGGCAACGTCATCGACAAGGTGGTGCAGCTCTGCACGGAACTGAAAGAGAAGATCGAGAACGACGGCAAGACCGAACAGGGATCCTACGACAAATACGCGTGTTGGTGCGAGGAGTCCCTGGGCAAGAAGGCCAACGACATCTCTAAGGCGAAGGAGACCATCGAGCAGCTGCAGACGGAGATAGTCAAGTTGAAGGGCGAGCAGGCCACCCACGTGGTCAACGTCGCGCAGCTGAAGAAGGACATCGCGGCCGCCATCGAGTCTCAGAAGGAGGCGACGGCGATACGCGAGAAGGAGAGCGAGGCCTACCACGAGGAGAAGGACGAGAGCGAGCAGTGCATCGGAGCCCTCGAGGCCGCCATCAGAGTGCTCGCGGGCGCGGGCGCTGGCAAGCCGAAGCAGCTGGAGACCCTGCAGGAGGCCCGCCTGCTGAGCGTGGTGGCCGGCGTGCGGGGCCTGCTGCGGCAGTCTGCGGTGGCGAGGTCCGTGTCGAGCGAGGACCTGGGCGTCGTGCGCCACTTCGTCGAGCGGCCCGAGGACTTCGTGGGCGAGAGCATGGGGTCCCTGAGCGCCGCGCAGGTGGCCAACAATCCCTACGGCGAGCGGCATCGTCCAATATTCGGTCCCCCTCCCCGGTTGGGCCAGGGCATCTCGGCCCCACCCGCTGGCGGTCACCCGCTCAGGCGGCCTCGTGTGGGGGTCGGCTTCGCGACGCCCGCGGGGAGCAGCGTGCACCCCCACCCGGGGGGGGGGGTGTAAGTCGGCCAGCGGGGCCACTGCTGCGCCAGAGGGGAGGGGGATCGGCGAAACGATGCTCAGGCGACTACGCGCCCCAGTCGACGCGCATCACGGGCATCCTGAAGGGCATGTACGACACCTTCACCGGCGGCCTCGAGCGCGCGAACGCGGAGGAGGCGACGAAGCAGAAGGCTTTCGAGGAGCTCATGGCCACCAAAAAGTCCGAGCTGCAGAGCCTTGAGGCCACCCTCGAGCAGCAGACGATGTACGATGCAGAGAAGACGAAGGGCCTCGCCGACTCCAAGGTGGAGCTCGACGCCACGAAGGAGCAGCTCGAGGCCGACGAGGAGTTCTTCGCTCAGGCCAAGACATCCTGCAAGGACAAGGCCGCCGAGTGGGCCGAGCGCACGCGGATGCGCACCGAGGAGCTCAAAGGCATCGACAAAGCTCTCGAGATCTTGACCGACGAGGAAAACCAGAAGATCTTCGCCAACGCAACGTCAGCCTCCTTCCTGCAGCTGCGCTCTGACTCGCGCAGCGATGAGTCCGAGGCCCGGAACGAGGCCTACTCGTCGCTGAAGTCCCTGGCGACCAAGTACCAGAGCATCAGCATCGCCACCGTGGCTGCTGCCCTGAGTGCGGGGGGTCACTTCGACAAGGTCATCCAGTCCATAAATGCCATGATCGAGACGCTGAGGAGGGAGGACGAGCAGGACATCAAGGAGAAGGATTGGTGCCAGGGCCAGCAGTACAACAACAAGATCACTGGCGAGGACCTTGAGTACGACATCGAGAAGCTTGACGAGGAGCTCCAACGCGCCGAAGACCTCAAGAAGGAGCTGCAGGACAAGTTCACTGCTCTCAGCGAGGAGCTCAACAGCACCCAGACGGAGTTTGCTGAGCTCAAGCAGATGCGCGCGGAGGCGCGCGCGTCGTTCTTGCAATCTCAGAGGTCGGAGTTCATAAAGTACACAGCGCAGCCTGCCCTGATCAGGCCCGTCTTGTGCACTTGGAGCGATCTGGCGATCGGAAAGCCGCCGATCGTTCAAGGCTGAACGATCCCCGCTGTGTCAGAGACCAACGCCAGGGTCGCCACGACACGAACCTGCCGTATATGCCCTCCTGGCACAGGCCAGGAGCGGTTGTGTAGCAGCGTAGGCCCCAGGGCGGGCCTGACCAGGTCTCGTGGCGTCGTATAGCTTCCGATCTCTGAAGAGGGACGACGCGGCCGCGGTCGCCCTGCTCGAGGAAGCCATCGCGGCTCTGACCTCGTACTACCAGAAGAACAAGATGCCGATCGGGCTGGTGAAGGTACGCCGCCACCTCTTCTCGCAGAAGCTGGCCGAGGAGTTCTCGAAGAAGAGCAATCGGCATGAGCATGAGCTTTCAGAATTCCGCGCGGATTTCTTGGATCTGCGCTGGGCTAGCCTTCTCGCGGCGTCACTGGCGCCGCCCCCGGCGCGCCCCGCGCTTTCTGGGAGGGGGTTCCAGCGCGGGTCCGAGAAATCCGCCTGGACCCCCGAACGTTTGCAGTCCTGCAGTCCTCCTGTCCCTCGGATCGAAGAGGAAAAAACCACACAAACATAAACTTTTGGCGCTCCGCGCGGATTTCTTGGATCCGCGCCTGGGCCCCCCGGCGGCGCCTCCGGCGCCGCCCCTGGCGCGCTCCGCGCGCCAGGGAGGGGGGTCCAGCGCGCGGATCCAAGGAATCCGCGCGGAGCGCCAAAAGTTTATGTCTGTGTGGTTTTTTCTCCTTCTGTCGAAGCCCGCGGTCAGGGTAGGTCCGCACCCGCCGCCTCGGGGTGGTGCCGCGGGACCTCGAAGAGAGCGGCCGACGCGTGCGCCTGCCCGCTCCCTCCCGCGGGCAGGGCGACGAAGATCCACGTCCGCCGCTCCCCCGGGGGCCCTGGGCACAACCCCAGGTTGTCGTGGACCGCGGGTGTCCCCTGGCGTTAGGTCGGGCATGTCCCCCTACAGGCGGATCTTGGACGAAAAATATCAGATACTCCAAAAATATTCTGCAAGAGTCCAAATGTCGTCCCCAGACTATTTTTTGAACATTTTTGCATATTCCCCCTGTAGAGGGACAGGCCCGACTCAACCCTGGCGGTTGCCCAGGAGCCCGGCGGCGGGGCCGAGGAGGAGTCCGACCCGAGCAGGCCTCCGGAGACCTCCTGGGAGGAGGGCGGGTACAAGGGCAGCACCTCCGAGGCCGGCGGCCTCGTGGCCATCGTCGAGCTGGTCAAGGAGGACCTGGAGAAGGAGATCCTGACGGATCGCGAGGAGTCGGCGGCGCGCAGAAGGGGCCGGGTCGAGGGGGGGGGAGGGAGCTTTAGGCTCGAGTCGGGCCCGTCGCTCTACAGGGGGAATGTCCAAAAATAGTCCATCATATTGTCTGGGGACGATTTTTGGATGATTCGTGAATATTTGTTGAATATTTTTTTGGGTGTGATGGAGTATTTTTGGTTTTTCGTCCAAAACCCACCTGTAGGGGGACATGCCCGACCTAAGCTTTGGGTCGGTGTGATCGAGCCAGCCACGCAGAGCTGTAGACAAGAATGCCCACACAGTCCTGCGCACAGCGTTGGGGTGCTTGACTGCGAAGGCGACGAGAAAGAAAGAACATTGTTACACTTGTCATGGCGCCAACCTTGCAGAGCGGATTTCGTTCGGAAAACGAAAGGGTGGACCCGGAGTGTCCCGGAGAATCTCGTTCTGGATTTCGAGGTGAATTCCGTTTTTTGTTGTTGTTTTTATTTTCTTTTTCTCTTCCCTTTTGGCCAGGAATGAAGACAAAACAAACATCCACGCGAAATTCACTTCTCTTTTCAATAGCCGTTTCGGGGTCTTGCATTTACAGAACTCCACGCGAAAATCAGCTGCAGCACGCCTGCAAGGTCGGTGCAATGACATTTGTTCACGTGTACATCACGTTCGCGTCGTAGTGTGATTCCGCTTCGCATCATAGGGGGGCCGGGGACGGCCTTTCCGAGAAGCACCCCGCTCCCCTCCCAGAAGCCTTCATGCCGTCACGTTTTCGGCCGCGCGGCGTTTATAGTGCTGCCTCGTCTCATGTCGAGTTTCTGCGTGGAGGCTTCCCGTCGCAGGCTGATGTTTTCGCAGTGCTCGATGTGTCTGTGGTTGCCGTGATGCGCGCGTCACCGAGGGTAAGCGGGCGTCGTGTTTCGTGGGGGAAGGGGGAGCCTTCATTCCTGCTGGGGAGTGGCAGCGCTCACGACGGCCTCGCAGAGGGGGCAGGGCACTTCCAGAGAAGCCCCGTGCCCGCTTCGAGGGCCACCCTCCTCACCGCACCGTCGTTCGCGCGCCGCCCAAAGGACGATGCCAGAGCCCAGACGACCTACGAGGCCGACCTGGCAGCCCTCCAGAAGACCCTGGACGCGAAGAAGACCGCCATGAACGGAGTGGAGAAGGAGCAGGCGGAGCTGAACCTCAAGGTGACCGGCCTGGAGGCGAGGAAGATGCACAGGAACAGCAGCCTGAGCCTGGCGCAGGAGCGGAAGGGAACGCTGGAGGAGCAGTGCGCCTGGGTGGAGAGCCACTTCGAGAGCCGCCGCGACGCGCGCAAGGCTCGGCGTCACCCCAACATACGAATATTATTTGTGCGTCGCCCCCCCAGGGGCAACGCGCGCACCAATAACTCTTCTAGTGCATGCGTCGTGGCGGGCGCTTTCTGGCCACACCGCTCGGGAAACGATAGATTACAAGACGGGTATACTAGATGTTCGGGTCGGACGCGCGCCTTCAAGGACGACATATAGTACTCGTGCGCCTCTGTGCACCCCACAGGCGGAGATCGACGGCCTCGTCGAGGCCAAGAACTACCTCGCCGGCATGGACGACCCCAGCGCGTGAATGCGGCAGGCGCGGTCGAGCCGACCACGGAGCCGTGCAGGGCACGCGCGTAATTACAGTAGGCTCGTGTCGTGTCGACTTGGCAACGGCCCCAGCGCAGGTGCTCAAGGCTGAACGTGGACATTGACCCAGAATCTCGCCGAGCGCGTTACACTACTCGCAAAGTGCCTACTCGCAAGCGTCCGAAATATACAGGTCTTCCTCTATGTAATATATCGTAAATCCCACGTGGAGAATCCGGGCAATTTGCGAGTAGTTGATTTGCGAGTAGTGGAATGCGCCTGTCCAGATTCGGCCAACATGGATCGATCTAGCGATCGAGAACCGAAGAACAGAAAACAGCATAAACATACATTTTCGGCGCTCCGCGCGGACTTCTTGAATCTGTGCTGGGCCCCCCTGGCGGCGCCTCCAGCGCCGCCCCTGGCGCGCTCCGCGCGCCACGGAGGGGGGGGGACCCAGCGCGGATCCGAGAAATCCGTGCGGACCTCCAAAAGCTTATGTTTATGCCGTGTTTTGCTCTTCCAGAGAAGCCGCCGATCGTTGAAGGCGGAACGATCCGCGCGGTGTCAGAGACCAGCGATGGGGTCGTCACCACGCGAGCCTGCTGCAGGAGGCGCCGCGGTGCCGCTGAGGGCCGCCACCGCAGTCCGCGGGAGGCCTTCCCGGCGGCGAGCCCGGGGGTCCTCCTCCTCCTCCTCCTCCTCCTCCTCCTCCTCCTCCTCCTCCTCCTCAACAGGCTCGGAAGTCTCCCCGGCCTTCTGAAAAGTTTTCTGAGCCTCCCCCTGGAGAGCAGAAAAACCTCCCAGAAGGCGCGAAGGTTCTTGAGATGCCCCGCCGCCTCCTGAGGAGGCCTTCTCCTTCTCATTCCCCCCCTCGGCTCGCCGCCGAGTCTGGCTTTTGGGTCTCCGAGGGCCGTCCAGGACGACCCAGGCAAACCCCGAACGCCCTCGGCGGGGAGCAGCTGTCGCCCAGCATCCCGAGGCTGGGAAACCGCCGAGAACCGCCGAGAACCTCGAACCCGGAACCTCGAGTCCGAAACTTCCCCACGTCGCTCGCCGCCGAGTCACGACGCGAACCTGCCGCAGGATGGCGCCACGGTGCCGCTGAGGGCCGCCACCGCGGTCCGCGGGAGGCCTTCGGCCACCCGCGCAGCATGGCGCGGAGGCCCGCGGCAGCGCGTGCCACCACAGGGGCGCCGTGGGCCGCTCGAGGGCAGCTCGGCGCCGTCGGCGTCGTCGTCGTTGTCGTCGTCGTCGTCGTCGTCGTCGTCGTCGTCGTCGTCGTCAGGGGACGGCGGAAGACGACGAGGCGAGACCTCCCAGGGGGGAAACGACGGCAGAGGGAGCAGGGACCACCCCAAGCCACGGGAGCCCCAGAGAGCTCTCGCCCGCGAGGGCAGCCGAGGAGGAGGCAGAGGGGGGCGAGGCAGGCTGGGGGCGCTGTGCCATATCTGACATCCTACTCCTCCCACCTAACCCTTCCCACTGCGCTGTTTTTTCTCTATCCGCCGACGCGTGTCACAGCGGACCTGGAACTCCAGAGGGCACCTCATCGTGTTATGCGCAATCAGAAAAATGGAGCCGCATACATCGAAGGAGGAAGTGGCGGATGAGCAGGAGGATGAGCAGGAGGGAAGAGGGTGATGTAGGAGGAGGAGGATGAGGAGGAGGAGGACGAGGACGAACGGCAGCATCAGCAGGAGCTGGAGTGGAATGAGCGAGAGGACCAGGGAGGGGCGACGACGATGGAAAAGGTATCCCAAAAAGTATCCCGCGCTGGGGCGAGCGCGCCATCCTGAACGACGGGAGCACAGCGCCGATCGGGCACGATCCGTGTCAAAGCAAGCCATGCGGGCCATTCTCGCGCGTCGGCCGCGCGCGCATGTCGATTTTTTGTCCAAAACCTTCATCACCGACGCGAGGACGGCGTCGTCGTCGTCGGCGTGATCAGCATCGGCGCCCACACTGGCCGCGCCTTCGTCGGTGCGAACATCGTCACCAGCATCGCCACTATCATCATCGCGTCTACCGTAGTCGGCGTTGCCACGATACCGCGCCCGCCCAAATTCGCCGAGTCGCAGTGAAGTGCCCCTCTGGAATGCGTCCAGCTGTCTTTCAGCGCCACCGCGGCCGCGTCGGTGGCGCCAAACTAGCTGGCCGCTGCGCGCGCGTGCTAGGGTTGGCGCGGCCGCAGAGATGCACCAGCCAAAGCCAAGCATGCACCGCAATCGCCACCGCATGGGGTTTTCCACCCAAATTGCGGGTGGGTGGGTGGGATGTTTGCCAGAGCAAGGGATGTGTCAATTCATGGGTGAAAATCATTTGCGCCACCTAGATGGTGCCGCATAGGGTGTAGGAAATTCTTGTTTGGGGTCCACGTTGACTAACATATCCATATGGAGTATCTTCCAACACTCGTCTGGTTGGGCACTCGTTTTGAATAGAGGACTGCTCGCGCGTCTTCCTCCTCCTCCTCCTCCTCTTCTCGCCTCCTCCCTCTTCCAACCGCCAGCAACGCCAGAATGACCTCTGAGGCTACGGCCCCTTGCGCAGGCCGGTACCGGCCCGGCCCGCCCCGGCGGGACGTCTCCGCTCGTCGTTCGTTCGTTCGTTCCCTTCTCCTGCCGTCTGCCCCTCCTTTCTATTATACCCTTCGTCTCCTCCTCTCACCCGCTTGTCCCTTCTTCGGGCCTGCGAACTGTGGAATCTGTCGCCACTTTCGTAGGCCCCTGGGGGCCCAGCGGAGTGGCGCATTACGCTGAGCGAGGCGATGCCTCGCCGTCCCCTCGGGGCCTGCGAACTGTGAATGTGTCGCCACTTTCGTGGGCCTCAGGGGGGCCTATCGGAGTGACGTGACATCTTACGCGGACCAAGACGAGGCCTTGCCGTTCCCCTCGGGGCCTGCGAGCTGTAAAACTGCGGTTGCTTCTGTGGGCTGGGGGCCCAGCGGAGTGACGCCTGACGCGGATCAGAATGAGGCCTCGCCGTCCGTCCATTCGGGGCCTGCGAACTGTTAACTTGTCGCTACTCTCGTGCTCTCCTGGGGGTGCCAGCGGAGTGACGTCTTACGCGGATCAGAAACAGACTTTGCCGTTTCCTCGGGGCTTGCGAGCTGTGAATATGTCGCCACTCTCGTGGCCTCCTGGAGGCCCGGCGGGGTGACGTCCTATTCTGATCAGAAGGAGGCCTCGCCGTCCCTTCAGGGCCTGCGAATTGTAAACCTGTCGCCGCTGTCGTGAGTTTCTTTAGGGGCCCGCGGAGTAACGTCTTACGTGGATCAGGATGATGACTCGCCTGCCCCTCGGGGCGGGCCTGCGAACTGTAAAGCTCTTGTTGCTTTCGTGGGCTCCTGGGGGCCCAGCGTAGTTGCGTCCTACGCGGATCAGAGTGAGGCCTCGCCGTCCCCCCAGGGCCTTCGAATCGTACGGCTGTCGCCACTTTCGTGGGCGTTTGGGGGGCCCAGCGGAGTGACTATTGACGCGGATCAGCGTGAGGCCTCGCCGTCTCCTCGGGGTTTGAGAACTGTGAATCTGGCCTCCTGGGGGTCCGGCGGGGTGACGTCCTATGCTGATCAGCATGAGGCCTCGCCGTCCCCTCGGGGCTTGCAAACTATGATCTTGCCGCCACTGTTTTGTTTTTTCCCAACCATCCTGTGGTGTTGGGTCCTTGTTTTGAAGAGACGTCGCCCCGCGTTCTCCTCTCCTCTCCTCCTTCTCCTCCTCCTCCTCCTCCTCCTCCTCCTTCTCCTCCTCCCACTCCTCCCTCCTCCTCCCTTCTTCCCTTTCTCCTTACGTTTTATCCACCCCGTACAACGTTTCGTGGCCCCATTTTAGGGAGCCCCACCTACGGTCCCAGTGCTACCGTCCGCATGCGTCCCGCACACCCAGTACAGCGTTTCGTGGCCCTCCTCCCCCTCCTCCCTGCGTTTCACCCACCCAGTACAGCGTTTCGTGGCCACATAGGGAGCCCCACCGAAGGTCCCAGTGCTACCGTCCGCATGC